ACAATATACAAGTTCAACATTATTATTATAAAAATTAACAAGTATAAAAACTTATAAAGATACTTCACCTAAATTTATATTTCTTTTCTCGAATATTTGAAAATCGATATTATGTAGAGAATCATGATCAGCTAACCCGAAATCTTCATAATCATGTGCATAATCCTTAGGATATTCATGTTGATCATGAATATGATCGTCACCAGCTGATACTGTATCATCCATAAGATAATTTACAGCACGATTGAACACCAGATGATTGGAGAAAGCAAAATAAATTCAATCTTACAAACTTTGAGCCAATTCAGTATATATTAAAAAAAGGAGAAACCGTGTAATTGATATGTAACTAAAAAGGCGTGATATCTGCATTCATTGTTATCAATTATTTATTTATTTTAATTTTTAGAAACATTGTAAAGATAAGAATCAACACAAAATCGTATTATTCATCATGATATTGTAAATATTTGACAGATTCATATTCCAAAGATAATAAATTCCATAGATAAGACTTCGAAACATCCTGCGTAAATTTGACTTTTAATTAATTTATTCAGCAAACTTTAAAAAAAATTATTTTGTATGAATTTACATATGATTTCTGATTTATTACAGCATAAACGCATATACTAAGAAATCAATGAATATACCAGACTGTTATTCTGTCAGAATATTTGAAACAAGATTTACAAAAAAAATTATTTTTCACACGTTTGTTGTGTATATTCTAATACAACTTAACATAATTCTACCAGAGTCTTATTCTGTAATAATATATGAGACGAGAATTACACTAAATTTATTTGCTCATGTTTGATTTGTATATTGTAATACAAATTAACATTCTGCAAAAATTTGATAATAACAATTCTAACGGAATCTTTGATTAATCATTAATTAAAACGAATTTGTGAACACTTATTCTATACGAATAGAAAAACAAAATGCATTTAAAAACATACATTAAACTGTGTTTTTGTTTATTCTGTATTTTGTAATCAACATTTACATTCTACTACTTTTTATAACCACATTCTAACAGAATGTTTGCATATAACGTTATGTATAACACAATTTACGAAGAATTATTCTATACAAATATGAGAACAAAATACATTTACAACAACATATTTGTAGGAATATGATAAATAACAAAATGTATGAAATTTTAATCAAACTCAAAATGAAAATTATTAATATTAATTGAATGAAAACATAAACTTACAAGAATAAACCCCTAAAATTCATGAATCCATATCATTATTAGACTGAAATAAACCTCCATAAAATCCGATAAGACTAAATTGAAAACATTATTCAATTCCTAATATATCTTGACGAAATAAACATCTACTCTCTCTTGACCACTGCTTGAGGACAGTTCTTCCTATCATGACCAACACCAAAACAAATCTCACATCTTCTTTTTTTCTTCAAATCTTGATTCACTTGGGATTGCTTGACATTCCGACCATTGTTATCAGAAAAGTCCTTGTTATTGTTATCAATATTATCTTTGTTATGAAAAAACACAAAAATATAATTCCAAATATGAATTTCATCAATGAAATATCATAAGAACAAATATGATATACATCTGATGAACGATTAGTCTGCACTATCAATAGAACAAAATTTATATGCATATGATGAACGATTAGTCAACAATAACAAAATAAATACTGTAAGAACAACATACCTCCATTAACGAAATATCAGAATAAAAAATATGATATGAAGAGGATGAACGATCAGTCTGCAATAGAATAAAACGTATATGATGCATATATATATATATATATATATATATATATATATATATATATATATATATATATATTATATATATATATTAATTTTCGTTGATAAGATCCATATTTAATAGTCTGATATTTAGGAATTTGATTGATATCAATCAAATTTTAATTAACTCGGTAAAATATAAATTATATGGTAAGATTACACTAATACCCTTTAAGAATGATTGGCCCACATTTATGCATACAATAACACAATAAATACTTTAAACACCTGAACCTATCTCTCTCTCTCTCTCTCTCTCTCTCTCTATATATATATATATATATATATATATATATATATATATATATATATATATATATATATAATATAGAGAGAGAGAGAGAAAGAGAGCTAGGTTCAGATGTTTTTAGCAACTATTGTGTTCCTAAATGCATCAATCACAAATTAGCAAATAATTAAATAATTAATTAAATCAAAAAGGGCATTTCTGGTTTTTTACACTTGCAATTAAGGAAACAAAATAAATATATGTTGGCCTAATATCTCTTCTTTATAGCCATCGACCATTCGCAAACATACCTCTGTATCCTTCATCTTGCCACTGCGGTATCTTCTTCTTCCTCCCTCTCCATCGTCGGCTTCGTATTCCATCACCGAAATCGGTCTATAGTTGTCGCCGTACACCAACATCATAGCCCTGGTATGTTCTTGAACTCAATTTCTAATTTTTAAACCTAATTTCTGATTTTACAATCGACCATCTTCCATCTCCTTCTTCAATTAAAACAGTTCCTTTTTGAAATCTGATTTGAATGCTCATCTAACTGTGTTCAGTACGTATTTATAACCAAATACGAGCAGGTAGACATGGCGAGAGAGAAGAGATATCAAGTCTTTAAAATCCATCGATTTCTTTTGATGTTGTTGAAATCATCCAAGGGTTTTGTGTTCATGATTAAGGTTAGTAACACTCTCCGATTAAGCTCCGTTATTTTATCTTTTTAGCATCAATTGCACTCAATTTTTCTATATACTAGTTGTGATTTTGGAAGTGAACGAGAATCAAGAATCAATTTTTTATGTTATCAATGCTTTTGAATGTTGCTTGTACTGTTGCATTTTTTCAATGTTGATAATAAAACATGTCATCCAAGTGTTTAATATAATGTCAAAAAGAGAAGGTTTTTGTGTAAATGAGGTAAGTTTGATATGTTGGACTTATTGGGAAGATTTTGTTAGAATATGTTAAGCTAAACTACATACTATTTTGTTAGAATTACAATAACATGTTTATACTTGTGTTGAGATATTATGTTAGAAGTAAAGTAGATAATATTCTATAAGAAATTTTAAGGAATTGAAGTTTAAGCAACAAACGGAAATGAAATATTCTTTTAGAATTGAAGTTAATATGTGTAGTTATGTTATTTTGGTGTATTCAAACCTGCAAATTCTTTCAGAATGAGAAAACACAATATTCTTTTAGAATGAGGTTAGTAACACTAATCGATTTGATGCGCTATTATTCGTAAAAGAATTCGCAAAAGAATGTTAGTTAAGTGCATTTTGTAATGTATTCTGTCAGAATTTATTTATATAAATGCATTCTGTTAAAATGTCTTTGAGTATGTTTGTTAACAACAAGTATATTTGTTTAACGGATAATAGTAACGAGTAATGTATCTTATTCTTTCAGAATTGCATGGAGAACGAATTCAATATTGATCATACAAGAGAAATATTTGGAATCGAGTTCAACAACAAGTATATATGCGAAGATCAAGTGGATATTATGTTAGAATATGTTAGAATATGTATAACTATATTAAAATGTAAATATGTAAAGAATATGTATGAATTTGTATTGTATTTCGGATGTGTATTAAGAATAAAATCATAGACCCAACTTAGATGTATATGAATAATATCCAGAATTCTTAAATCAGGTTAATTATCAAAAATATGCATTGGAAATATATTCTGCAAGAATAAAATCGAAAATATATTTACTAGTTTATGGTTGACATTCTGTCATTCTGACATAATAAAATCGGATTTTTAAATTTGAATTAATTTAAAATATTCAGATTTTTAAAAATAACGGAATTAATTATCCCTAAAAATCCGAAAATTTCCTTTTTTAATATAGGGTAATTGACTAAAATGCCCTTATACTGAAATTTGTGTAATTATATGGTACATGTTACTCTATTGTAGTATCATAAACCCTCAGATCATGATATTTGATTCTATTTCATCCGGTGGTCCAGATCTGTGCATTCTGGCACACAATAGTTAGTAAAAACAAAATACGTAAGCCTATATATATATATATATATATATATATATATATATATATATATATATATATATATATATATATATATATAGGCTTACGTTATTTTGTTTTTACTAACTATTGTGTGCCAGAATGCACAGATCTGGACCACCGGATGAAATAGAATCAAATATCATGATCTGAGGGTTTATGATACTACAATAGAGTAACATGTACCATATAATTACACAAATTTCAGTATAAGGGCATTTTAGTCAATTACCCTATATTAAAAAAGGAAATTTTCGGATTTTTAGGGATAATTAATTCCGTTATTTTTAAAAATCTGAATATTTTAAATTAATTCAAATTTAAAAATCCGATTTTATTATGTCAGAATGACAGAATGTCAACCATAAACTAGTAAATATATTTTCGATTTTATTCTTGCAGAATATATTTCCAATGCATATTTTGTATTATATATATATATATATATATATATACACACACACACACACACACACCTAAACGAACGTAAATGAACGGACAACACCAATGTTCTTGTTCCTTCGCTTAACTAAATGAACAAACAATCGTGTTCACGTTCTTTCATTTATTAAATAAACGAATTTACCGCCGAACGGATCACAAATAGTTCGTTGAACGTTTAGTTCGTTTACAACAATGTCATTGAGTATTCGGATATCGAATTACATAAAGAGACACTTCAGTGACAGTGGCATGAGCAAACAACATTAATAAATCCTTTTATCAAGCATGTTCAGACTCTACCAAAAAAAAGAACCAAACCAAACCTGTCAATCATACAAAATGGGTTTCATTCACACGATTCCTTTTGATTTATAGGATCCAAATGAGCCATGAAGACAAAAGAATCTAAATGATGTAGCATTTGTCCAAATAACAACTAAAAGTAAATAAAAAAAAAAGGCTACCAATGCTTCAAAACTTCAACGGGGTGTATCTTTTGCTCAATTGCTCCGTTTATCTATAGAAAAACATTATTCTAAATGACTCAAACTATTTTGACTTGATGATTGGCTTCTTGGTTTACATTTTGACTACTTTGACCTAGTCAACAAACATACAAAAGCTATAACACGACAACCTACTCCCGTTCCAACAAGATACCAAAGACATTTCTTCGAATTATGAATATCAAAATCAAATTTCTTCAATGCAGCACAACGTGTCAATAACCAAACACCATTGTACCTGAAAAGTGAAAATCCACATAAATTATCAGAATTCTCCGCTGTCAATAATCATCATTTATAATTAAATTCCAATTTTTATTTCAAAAAGGTTGTTTTTGAAACAGAGCAAGTTATCTTACAAGGAAACAGGTAGAGAACATACTCTTTTGAGTTTGCAACAACAAATGCTTCCAATGCCCACCTGGGGAACACAAATTTTGCCACCAATGAAGCAAATGACTTTTTGTCCTGATTCGCTACCAGAGTCAAAACAACAGGAAGTAGCACAGACCACTGATGAGATTAAAAATAAAAATACATTATTAGTTAATTCCATATGTTAATATAAACTAGGTGTCATAATCATTAGAGACCTCAAATTTGTGAGTGAACCACGGAACTCAATCTCAACCCTAGGATGAAAACAATCAACGGCAGAGATTACAATGCGATTTGGCAGTTACAAGTTGTTACAAAGCGGTTAGCCAACTACAAATCAAAGTCGTTAGATGAATTTGATCCAAGGGCCGTGATTGAGTTTCCTGGTTCCCTCAAAAATTTGAGTTCTCTAAAGAGAACTCATATTTGTGAGGGATTTAATCACGGCCATTGGATGAAATTCATCCAATGGCCGTGATTTATAGCAGACCAACTGCTTTGTAACAACCTTTAACCGCCTAACCGCTTTGTAATCTCGGCCATTGATTGTTTTCATTCAAGGGCTGAGATTGAGTTTCATGGTTGCCTCGCATATTTGATTTCTTTAATGATTTGGACCCTATAAAAATACATTTTTAGTATTTTCAAAGGTGACATACCAATTGTGCTTGGCTAAATTCGAGAGAAATGGCAAGGGTATATGATATGCCAGTCACACAGTATACGAGGCACAAAAGAACTAAATAATTTGACACGAAGCTTGATCTTGGATAACTGAAAAAATAGAACATGCAAAGATACACTAAAGGCTTCATGACTATATTCAAAAGATCCATCGTATCTTTCGCCATAAAATAAGATAAGCTTTTCATCCCACTAGCGCTTTCCCTCTTGAATTGTAATTTATCCTGTGAAAATGTTCTCAAAGCTCCAATCATGCATAACAAAGCTGAAATCACACATCAAAATTTTACATTTAGTCATTTACCATAAGTAACAAGTTTATTTTAAATATTTCCTTTTTTTTGCACTTACAGACAGCAATAACGGTATATTGATAGCCAGTATATCCAAATGACACGTCACTCACTTCAGCCATTGTTCCTAAGCAAGCTCCCGCAAGCAAAAGAATTAAATAATCTGCAGCTTGTACTCTAGCATCTCTCATTCGCTGTTTAGCAACCCTATAAAACAAAATCGTAATTCCTTATTCCAAAAAAATAAATCAAGATTTAAAAAGAATATTACCTTCCAAGATAATATTTATACTGACGAAAAACTCCAGGGGTAACTCGTCCTGATAAATCAGGGGTACTGAAGTAATTATACTTTTCAACTTCTCGTTGTTCTTTATTGTTGGGTTCATGAGAAGGTGGTGATGCTGATGAATTTTTGATCACAGAGGTGTAACATATCAGGGGGTACTCTATACCCGTTGTGAAGCATCCATCGTACAGGGAGTTGCTGAGCTGTCACATTGCCACCTGGCTTTATTATACCCTCGAGAATATCGATTAAGTGATCTGGAGTATTTACACGTTCGGGTATCCTGATTCCTAAACCTTCGAAATATTCCTCAACTTTGTCTACGGGTCCATGGTACACAGTAAGACCACCTTTTGCCAGAAGTATTAAGTCATCAAACATCTTGTACAATGAGTAGCTGAAGAAGATAAAATCAGTCAAGATTCCAGGTTGACCACACACATATATGTTGGGAAAATAGTCTCAAAGATTCTCAACAATAAACCAGTCGGGTGAAAAATAATAGAGAAAACCAAACATAACAATATACGTGGAAAACTCCAAAACCAGAGAAGAAACACGGGCCCCAGTTGAAAATTTCACTATATGACAAAGTATTATAATCATATAAACAAATCTCTGAAGCTAATTCACCCAATTACATAAAAAAGTAGAGTGAACTCCATGTACTTGATTTTTTTTCTCGTTTTAGATTGTAAAAAAGTGAGTTAAAGGGTAATTAGGGATTTGGCTTGAGAGATTTGTCTATGTGATTGTAATAATTTTTCATTCATATATTGGATTTTTCTCTTCTCTCTAAAGACGCGTAGTTTTTCTCAAATTTTGGAGTTTTTCACATATATTCTCGTGTTCAATTTTCTCTATTATTTTTCATTGGGTTGGGTGTTGGGAATCTTTGAGGCCATTTTCCCAACAAGTGGTATCCATACACACACACACACACATACATACATATAATATATATATATACCTTGGTTGGTGAACAACCATGCTTATGTTGACACCTTCCATGGCTTCACGTCGAAGAGCTCTAAGAAGTAAACTAGAAGATGCACTGTCTAAACCGGATGTAGGTTCATCCAAGATTAAGAGGGAAGGTTCCATCACCATTTCCAACCCAACGTTTACTCTTTTCTTTTGGCCTCCTGAAATTCCACGTTTTTCAACTGTTCCAACTTTGGAATCTCTAACTCCCTGAAGTCCTAATGCCTCGATCACTCTTTCGGTTATGAGAACTTTATCTGCTTTTGGCAAATCGGCAGATAGTCTTCAGATTTTGCGGTGTTTTTAGCAATGATACAAGACATTAACTCAGTCAGTATATAATATATTATATACTATACAAGACATTAACCCTATCAAGACATCAAATTTGTTGCAACACTATTTATTTTCGAAAAATTACGGTTAACTTATTTGGTAATCTCAACAACAAATATGAAAGTATAATCACGACTTTATTAGCTCCAAATCACAAATAACATAAAAGTAATAGTAAATAAAATACTTATACATACCTGCATCGTGCACTAAACCTCAAATTCTCTTCAACAGTCAAATCTCCATGCACAATATCATCTTGTGGAACAAAACCAACAATTTTTTTATACGAATGAATCGATTCATTTTTTCCATTTATCAAAATCATTCCCGACATTGTACACCCACTTATTTTTCCGGTTAAAGCAGACAAAAAAGTAGTCTTCCCCGCCCCCGAGGGCCCCATAACAGCCGAAATCCTACCTGGCAAAATCTTCCCACTAACATTCCTCATTATATTCCTATTTTTCCCTTTTAAAGTCAAAGTCAACTCCTTAAAAGCAACCTCAATCCTAGGCCTTTTCCTCAAAACATCTACATCACTCATGTACATGTTCATCTCCTCCATTGCTTTCTCTTTCTCAATTTGACCATACGCGTATTTAAAGATTTGACTTCTTGTATGAAGCTCCTTTGAAGCTTTACGTTCGTGTTTTGTTTTATCTCCATTTTCCAAATTTAACCCTTTATCAACTTCGGTGTTGTCATCAAGTGAACGTATTTCTTTTTTGTTTCCTAAAGGTCCTGAAGGTGGGAGTGAAGGTGAACCTTTTGTTTTTGTTCTTGAAAATTTTCTTGAAAGTGTTTGGTGTATTCCTTGTAATCCTGATGGTTTCCATCCACTTGCATCTTTTGAAGCTCTTGATTTTTGTCTTGCTTGAATTTCGCGTGCATATTTTACTGCTTCTTCTCTTGATTTGGCTTGTTTTTCATATCGTGTTGAGATTACTTGGTCTGAGCAATTATAGACCACTATCAGTATTGCTGTCAATAAAGCCTACAACAAAAAAAAATCATAACATTAATTGTAACTTTAATGAATGATATAAGATATATTGAATATTACTTTGATTAAATGATAAAATACTTACAATGAGCAAGATTCCATACACTTTCATGCTTGGAATTTCTGTTCCCTTGTCACACTTAGTGCCAGGGAAGCAACCTACAAAATTTTGTTTTATAATGCTAAAATTTTGACTTATAATGCTAAAGGGAAATCTCCAAAAAGTCCTAAAATTTTACCCTAATTTATGAAAAAGTCCTAAACTAAAATTTGTTTACGAAAAAGCATGAATTACCGGTAAAAATGGCGATTTGACCCATTTTTCCGGTTTACCGGTTTTATTACTTACATGTTTCACTAAAGTCCCATTATTTTACCTTAATTTGCGAATAAGTCCCAAAATAAAATTTACTGATGATTTGGCCATTTTCTTCATGTAACATACATTTTATCGGTTTCATTGCAGACTTAGACACCTAGTCATTAAATTAGCTGATAAGATAAATACGATGGGTTATATAATGTCACATTTACTGTAAAATTTGATACCTATCTCATCGGATCATTTATGACTATGTATCCACGTCAGTAATGAAACCAATAAAATGTGTGTTTCCAAGAAAAAAGGGCAGAAAATGAGTTGATGTCTGATGAGATGGATATATTGGGTTACATAAGATTAGATAGACAATTTGATATTTCTTATAAACGTAAAAAATAACGCAGTTGTTGTTAGTTTATGTAATTATTGTAGTCTTCGTTGGATGAATTTTATGTTCCAAAAAGATATACAAACATCAAGATATCAAGTTTTATGCTAAACATAGCATTATCCATCTCATCATCTCATTTAATGACTAGGCGTCCGGGTCAGCAATGAAACCCGTAAAATGTATGTTACATAGAGAAAAGGGCCAAATCATCAGTAATTTTTATTTTGGGACTTATTCGCAAATTAGGGTAAAATAATGGGACTTTACTGAAACAGGTAAGTAATAAAACCGGAAAAAACGAGTCAAATCGCCATTTTTACCGGTAATTCATGCTTTTTCGTAAACAAAATTTAGTTTGGGACTTTTTCGTAAATTAGGGTAAAATTTTAGGACTTTTCTGGAGATTTCCCTAATGCTAAAATTTTGTAAATTTCCATTCCATCGTGGAATGGAATGAAAAATTGCATTATAACTCGACATTAGCTATGTAAGTTATAATAACACATCTTATTTTTAAATTAAATTAAAATTTATCAAATGTCAATTGATTGGTGATGAAAATATAGAGATAAAAAAAATAAAAAATAAAAAACAAAAAAAATAAAAAAAATTAAAACTTACGGTATTTAACCCTAGACCCCATCCGACAATAGCATCTGCAATCAAACAAAAAACATAACATAAATGAACGCTAATAACAAGAATAAACTTAAAACACATCAATGCAAAAATGTTAAAATGTAACAAAATACCCTTGAGGGCATTGAATTTTCTTGATAGTTGTTGGACAATAATATCCTGCAGCACAAAATATCTCGTTACCCATTTGTACTGGGACCCACATATCGGCTGAACCACAACTGTAATTCTTTTGGCCAGAAGGTAGCTGGTAGTGGTATCTGCAAAATAATTTCTAACATATATGACTTAATAATGTTTTTTTTTTGGAAAAGGAAATTCCCTAACGAGGGTTCCTAGGCCAGCTTCTGCACGCCGACTAATCCCCCGCTGCGAACATGAGACTATGTCTCATGCCCTAAAGTCAGTGCAGGCGAACCTCCATGGCCACAGGGGCTGAATAGTGCCAGGATTTGAACATGGGTCAATAGGTTATCCACCATATCTTCCACATGTCTTACCAAGTTACCACAATCAAAGTGGTTTATGACTTAATAATGTTTATAAACCATAAATTATGAATAGATTAGAATATATATAATATATATATATATATATATATATATATATATATATATATATATATATATAAAGGATCAATATAAGATAATCACTTACGGTAAACAAATACCCGTTGTTGGATTCAGCTTTGCAACAGGACAATGTGCACCCAAGGGGCATGCTTTAATGACAAGTTAACAAAAAGATAATTTTAGTAATTTGGAATCTATTAATACTCATGAAGAATTTAATAAACTACATGAGCTAGATGCAAGAAACTGCAATGTACTTCAATTTTTTTCTTATTACAATGTTGTAGTTCCAAATTATTCCATTGTGCTTTAAATTTTGACGAATTATAGCAATCGCTAACCTGCCGATTTGAATTATGATAAAATGGGACAACTTAACAGGTTTTATATCATCATTGTCGACATAAGATATTCACATGTTATATACCGGTTACATGGAAAATAAATATATGTTTTTTTATTATTAATATCAGAAAGAAACTTGAACACTTATAACTTGTCCAAGTTTTTTCTAATAATAATAATAAATAATCATATATTTATTATAAAAAAGAAACCAATACCTTTGATGTTCCATATAAGTTATAACGAACATCAAAGGTATCGGTTTCTCACTTAGATCTTACCTATTCATTTATGATAAATATGTTTTTTAAAAACCTATTAATTATGTTATGTCATCATAATTCAAATCAAGTTTTACCCATTTCTATGATGGGAAACTTTTATAAAGTACAATGCCCTAATAAGGACTAATTTGGAAAAGTCTAGAAAGTACATTGCAATTTCTTTCATAAGCCCTAAAAAAACTACACTTACGTATCATGCAAGTAAGACCTTGAGGGCAGAAAAACCCCTCACAACATGGTTTACTATCAGTAGTCCGAAAAGGCATTTTTTTAGGATCCGTTTCATTATAATCATACTTTTGACCAGGGTTGACTGTACTTGCCCATCCTGCTTCACATCCTTGGGACCATGACGTCAGATTACAGTTTCTATTGGGGCCTAAGAAATGAGATTGAGATACGCTTTTCTTCTCTCCAGCGTTCTTCAGAAAACTGGTGAAGTATACTCTAAGTTCTGATACAGTGCATAATCGAGTTGGGAGATCTGGAAATTGAATAATATAAAGTTATAAACTATAAAGTCAATCTGAAGTTCAAGAGATTTGAAACGAAAAGAATGAATCACCTTTTAACTTGTCTTGACAGTTTTGGAAGAATTGTTCCCTTCCTTCGAAGTCAAAAGCTCCATGGAAGTCCTTTTTGCTAGAACAGAATCACAGATTACAGATATAGGTAAGTGCATAAAAATGGATGATAGTGATGGAGTCATGGAGCATTTGGAGTGTAGTGAGTGCTTACACGTCTTGAGTGCAAAATCCTATCTCTTTTTCGATTTCAGGCTGGTATTGTTCGACTGTTTTGTTGAATCTTCCGAGAAAAAGGTTTGAAATCAATGGTGATAATCGGGGTTTTCCCTTTCTTGGAGGAGGTCGATTTTGACACCAAACATGGTGGGGGAAATTACCCACGAAAAGAAGTAGAATTAGGATCAAGTATCCAATCCAAGAGGTAATTATCCTCCTCTCTCCATTCATCTTATTCAGACTGCAATAAAATCATGGCTATTTCAGAATCATCAAGCTCCCTTCCCTCGATTCCTTTAAATTGCTTAAATTTATGACACGAACGTGAATGCGAAATTGGGTATTACGTAACGTAACCCAGAAAAGAATTTGACCAAAAGTTGAATGATTCTTGAGGAAATGCAGTTGAAAATCAGGTTTGAGAAAAGAAAGGGATTTAGGTCAAAGGAGGTGTTTTGCAGATTGTGTTTGGGTGAAAGGATTGACGATGGATTCGAGTATCGGTGGAGGACCATGATTTGGGGATGAAGAAATGGAGGGGAGAAAATGATGGAAAGAATGTAGGAATTGGTGGGAATCTCAACCTTCAAGCGTGAATAAGCAAGCAATTTATAGGTTGTGTGTGGTAGTAGAAGGAGGTGAAAAGGTTTACTTGTATGGCAAATTATTATTTTAATTTCTTTTTTCATTACAAATATTACTAGTTGAAATGAAATCCAAATCAAATATTATTAAGGATGATTATTATTAACAACGATCGTAACCATATTTTAGATATAATAAAATGATATAGCTTTTTTTTGAGTTTTGTAGATAACCAATAAGCTCAAAATGGTTGGTTTAGAATTAATTTTTTTGAATTTCAAACATGTTTTTGTTAGAAGAAAAAAAGGTTTGAAACTATTTTTTTTTTAAATATAGTCTCGAAACTACTTTCTTTTTTCAGACAAATATGAGTTTTGAATTTGTTCTTGGTGACTGAGTTTCAAACTTGTTCATAACTTTTTTTTATGAAGTTTAATTCAAATTCTTAGTAATAATCGTACAGTGAGATGGCAAACGGACAACAAGTTGGGCCGATAAGCCTTTTAGTATAATAAAATCAATTCTTTTAAAGATTACATCCATAGATCTAGGGGATATAGCATTTATGAATGATCCGTTGTACTCTATTAAGAATCTCAACCGTATCCGGCGCAAGGAAACCAAACGTATCAAATGCAAATGGTATGAACACGTGTTGACTTTCCATGCACGATTTCATATGTTTGGTGACCTTGCATGTAACAGCTTTTAAAGCAGTATGTCCCGCCGTGAAACCCCCAGCCCTCAAGCCCACAAGAGGGGATACCCTTGTAAGGTCCACACATGCGTGTTTCCCTCCAACCCATCCAAAAATAAAAACGTCAGTCGGTCTAAGGGTTGACCTTCCTTCTATCGGTTCAATCAAGAAATTCACAGGTGCCTCTTTCTTAGCAAAAACCCCAGTACGCTTAAATATGTCAAACAAAACATCATTAACCATATTGTGCCTATATTTGAACCCCGGAAGTTCTTTACAATGAATTTCATGCTCTTCAAAAGAGTCCAAACATACATTGCGGCACACGGACATATCTCATCAGCTGCGAATATTGGGATCATGAGTCGATATTTGAGGATAGTACGATACTCTACAAGAGACATATGTTGGCCAAGTCTATCTATAGGGATGGCTAGAAGAAAGTCTTGAGCATGTGGTGCACGTAAACATTGGAAAATTGCTTTCTGTCGGGCCGTCATGTCGAGATGCACTTCCATATCTTGGACAATTTTATTAAAAAAGGGCACTCGCCAGTGTATTCTAGGATTTAGGGGGCGCCCTTAGTAGTAAAATTGCTAAGGTCAATGTCCGGAAGCTTGTTACGAAGAGAAGCCAAGGCACAAGCATAATCAGAATCCATACCATATATGTTATCCCATAAGATGTGGTCAGGCAATACCCAAGATTAGGACCTTGAGGAAACAAAAGCATATGAGGTAGCCTCTACTACCAAGTATAAACCTAAACCACCAAACCTAATGGGTAGGGAAGCAATTCGCCACTGTATGTCGCCAAAGAAAGGTCCACCACAAACCATGATGTCCCCAATCCCCCCACGCAAACCATTGTCAAAGAACAACGCCTCCTCCTCCATGTGAACGGGTTGGCACGTCCTCAGCCCAAAGAAAATTTTAGCAATACCCATACAAGACCGAAGCAGAAGGAGGTCACTCTGGGGTCAGCCAATTGTGGAAGAAAGCGCATCAAATTCACAGCGTTTTCAGCTCTCTTTTATGGCTAAGCTGCTAATTAAACTAGCATCTCTACTTACAGCTCCCCCAAGAAGTTTCACCCCCAATATCGGCATCCTGATGCCAATCGGGAATAGCCCCTCACACAGCTTCCTACCATCACACGAGGGCTAAAAGAGATCGGTTTTCTTGATATTCAATTGAAGGCCCAATTTTGGGTCAATCACCTTCATGATGTCCAACGCTTTGGCCACCTCATTCGATCTCCAATAAGTGTGTCATCATCAAGGTACCATGCATGGAGAAGAACCCTTGCAATTGTCTTTAATATTATGTAACAGCGGGTGCAACACAAGGGCAAAGAGAAGTGGTCTCAAAGGGTCTCCTTGCTAAGCCCCAGTAGTGGACCAAATATGTGTCTCCTAGATACAACATTGATGCTTGGACATTTAGGAATTCTTCACGAACTTCTTCACGAGTTTCAAACTTTGTCTTCATGATGAATTTCGAACTTTTTTTTATATTATATATTCATTAAAATGATAAAATAATTCATATGTTTGGGTGAAATGACAAAGAAAAAACTAAAAATGAAAAAAAAAGTAATAAGAAATGGTTATAGGTGATGGTAGGGAAGAAAAAAAACGAGAAATAAAAACAAGGTAGAGAAATAAAAAGAAAGTGAGACAAAGTTAAGAAGACATGTATAGTTCCAAAACTTCGAACATGGTGTAATTTTGTATTTTGTAAAAATATGATCTCATTATGATAGATATTTATTGAGTTTGGTCATTTTCGTTATTATCCCGGTAATCAATCATTAACATATTGTCTATGTTAAGGTGAAATTTTTTTATTAAAAAACTTAAATGAGGCATATATTATTTTAACATCTAACATCCATAAAATTCAAGCCAATTTATAACTTTTTCAAGCATTCAAAAACCTTTCATTATTACGAAATGTTTTCAAAATAGTTTCATATCAGAGTATCCCAGAAATCAAGATCATAAAAATGTGAGGAGGTGCACGATCATGCCTTCTCCTTCCCGCGATCATCTGAAGTACCTGAAACAAAATCCAAAATTGTAAGCTCGAAGCTTAGTGAGTTCCCCCGAAATACTCGCACAACAAATAACACACATATAATAAAAGCATACTATGGGCCCAATCAACCATCGGGTTGGAATGCCCCAGGCCCTCAACCATCGGGTTAGAATGCCAACATACTATGGGTCCAATCATCCTCGGGATGGTATACCCTCGGCCCACAACCATCGGGTTGGAATTCCCACATACTATGAGTCCAATCATCCTCGGTATGGAATACTCTCGGCCCACAACCATCGGGTTGGAATGCCCGGTGGTTGGCTGCTCTCGCACAAAGCAGATAAGCCTCACCATCAATCAATCATGTGCACATATATCAGATAATCACATAACAGTCTACAGACAGACAATCCGATCTACAGATCACTAAGCCTAACAACATCCTATCTACCAGGATACCGATCTAACTGATCATAACCACATAGAACATCCTATCTACCAGGATACCGATCTAAAAGATCACACTAACAGTAATGCAGGATAACAATCCAAAGGGCCGGTCTTGGTGCCTTCGACCCTTGAGTGCAGTGAGGAAAACTCACCTCACAATGTTCATCGGACTGAAATATCAAACTCCCAAAACACGGCTCCAAACACCAACACCTACAACCACCAATGATCCACTTCCATAAATTCCCAATTTACCAAAATACCCTCAGAAGTCAACTGGCCAACCCTTGGTCAAAGTCAAAGTCAACGGTCAAGGTCAACAGTCCATGTTGACCCAACTCGTCGAGTGCAGCTTACTGACTCGTCGAGTTCCTTCAGAACTCAAAGAATCATGAAAACCCCAGTTGACTCGCCGACTTTCCAAAAAACTCGTCGAGTCCATGCAGTGTCCAAAATGTCAGGAAAACCCTAACCAACTCGTCGAGTTAACTCACTAACTCGTCGAGTTCATGCAGAATCCAGAAAGCGGGAAACCCTCATCCAACTCGTCGAGTTGGCTATGCAACTCGTCGAGTTCCTTCGGTCCTTTTCTCATTCAAACGCTTTTAAACGAAACCAAGGCTCCAAACTGTAGATCTAGCCTGCTAGGGTATAGTTACCACGTAAAGTTGCTAACTTTATGTGCGTGCAAGGTTCCAAGAAGCTAAAACACTCATAACTAGCCTTAGGAAGGGGTTTTGGACATGGAGGAGGGCCAAAGCTTCATAAAGCTTGAGGCTTTATGTCCATAAGGGCCTAGAGGAGTCCAGATTTGAAACCGTGTTCTCATGACAAGCTCAAACTCGAGTATGACCCCCTTTTTGCACCAAAATGCCCATATACTAACATAATAAGAGATCTAAGGAATGGAAAGCCAAGGTAAAGGACTTTTTACCATCAAATTTATGCCAAAACAATGTAGATACTGGATCTACAAGCTTCTTCTCGTTCCAAGCCTCTAAATCTTTAAGCCTCTTCAAGAAATGTACCAACACACACTTTTAGCCTCACACACACTCAAAAATAGGGTTAGATCGATTAGGGTTTTCTTCTGGACGTGAAAGGGTGGTAACGAGGCTGAAAGGAAGGACTTAAGGTCCTTTAAATAGGGTGCAAACCCTAAAAATTAGGGTTTTCATGCACCGCCTCTACTCGTCGAGTTGGGGTCCACCAACTCGTCGAGTAGGTCCCATAAACCACGCGGCGATATCCGTCTCTACACGACGAGTTGTGGAAACCAACTCTTCGAGTAGGTCTCTAATAATGAATATAAAACTTTTAAAATTTATACATGGGAGTCGGGGTGTTATATAACAAGATTGTAGTCATTAGATAAAAAAAAACCCTAAATATAGGATGTTTGACATACTCATCTAAAATAAAAGTTTCAAGTATTTTAGAAAAAAAAAACAATAATT